CCCGCCACCTTAGGTGTATGTGGCTGGCGCCTTAGCCACTTGAGCCACAGGCGCCGAGCCAAATTTCTTTTTCATTTTGTAATCTTTTCTCCCTTGTAATAATTTATAAATCCTCAATTTTCATGCTTCTAGGGAAGATTTAAACCTAAAAATTTTTTGTAATTTATCACTATGATGTCATTTCTGTATATTGTGGTTTCTATCTTCTTTTGCTTATATATGGGCTTAATAGCGGTGGGTGTTAATGTGGTATTATAACAAAAATTACTTTGATTTAATGACTGCTAGATGAGATCTTCAAATACCAGTTCTCATTTTGATTTTTCTTCATTGTATAACAAAAATGTTGAAAGATTGCCAAATATTTTTCTGGATTCTTACGATAGAAGATTGAATGCATCTCATTTTTGTTCACTCCTGAAAACATACAAAGTATAGTGTACAGTTAGCTTTCAAACAAACCTCAGTGATTCTCACCTCCTGTGTATAGTCCTGTGTGATATTGTGATATAGTAAGAAATATATGTGTAGCCAATAGGATATTGTGAAAATGATGGCAGCTAGTTCAGATACAAGCACTGTGACTCAAAAAAGATTTAATAGGCTCAGTACCCGTAGCTCAGTGGTTATGGCGCTGGCCACATATGCTGGGGCTGGCAGGTTTGAACCTGGCCTGGGCCTGCTAAACAACAATGACAACTATAATAACAACAAAAATAGCCAGGCATTGTGACGAGCACTTGTAGTCAGCTACTTGGGAGGCTGAGGCAAGAGAATTGCTTAAGCCTAAGAGTTTGCGATTGCTGTGAGATGTGATGCCACGACACTCTACTAAGGGCAACATAATAAGATTCTATCTCAAAAAAAGAGAGAGAGAGAGAGATTTGATAAAACTATGTAGTATAGAAAAAAGCAAAGGAATTAAGTTACACAAAAATCGGGATAATAGTTTAGATAGAGATAGTGGGGGAATGCTTTGGGGAGAGACATAATGGTCAGTTAACATTCTTTTTAACCTTGGTGCTTGGTACTTACGGTATTCATTTTATTTTTTTAAACCAACTATTTTATAAGCTATTTCAGTTTTTGTGTAACTTATACATTTCAAAATAAAAACACATTTCTGAGTTTCACAATCTATTAAGAAAATCTGTCTGGCTCGGCACCTATAGCTCAACCGGCTAAGGCGTCAGCCACGTACACCAAAAGGTGGCAGGTTCGAATCCAGCCCGGACCCGCCAAACAACAATGATGGCTGCAACCAAAAAAAAAAAAATAGCCCAGCGTTGTGGTGGGAGCTGTGGCGGGCGCCTGTGGTCCCAGCTACTTGGGAGGCAGAGGCAGGAGACTCGCTTAAGCCCAGGAGTTGGAGGTTGCTGTGAGCTGTAATGCCATGGCACACTACCCAGGGGGACAGCTTGAGGCTCTGTCTCAAAAAAAGAAAAGAAAATCTGTCTTTTTAATTGGAAGAGTACTTAGCCTTCTAGTAGTTATGGGGCTTCTTACTTTAAACTTAGGCAGAATAAGGGTCAGCAAATCTGGGTCCAGATCCTTACTGTGGCACTAACTTGCAGAATGACCTTAGGCAAGTCATTTAACCAGTCTGAACTCCAGTTAACTCATTTGTAAAACTAAAAGATTTGAGTTAGAAATTACTAGAGGATCTTTAAGATGCCTAAGATACCTTCTAAGATTGTTGAAAATCTGACAGAACACTAAATGAAACCACACTCACCTTTGCTTGGAGTGGCAGAGTTCCCAGAAACTCATAAAAATGTGGAAGGTGATTTTGGAAAGGTTTCTTGAGGTTGAGGATATTTAACCTCTTTAATTTGTTGTCAGTGCTGTCGTACTCTCTAGAATCAAACTTAAGGTAGCATTTTGTGTATGATAAGAATATTCTTTTTTTTTTTTTTTTTTTTTGAGACAGAGCCTCAAGCTGTCGCCCTGGGTAGAATGCCATGGCATCACAGCTCACAGCAACCTCAAACTCCTGGGCTTAAGTGATTCTCTTGTCTCAGCCTCCCAAGTAGCTGGGACTACAGGTGCTCACCACGATGCCCAGCTATTTTTTGGTTGTAGTTGTCGTTGTTTGGCAGACTCGGGCTGGATTCAAACCCGCCAGCTCTGGTATATGTGGCTGGCACTTAGCTGCTTGAGCTACAGGTGCTGAGCCAGAATATTCCTTTCTACTTATTTTTTTCTTGTATTAGAAGTTTGGGGTAAATATGTTTGCCTAACATCTTTTTGTCTGTAAGGAAAAATGATAATCCTATTTTTTCACTTTAAAGCATATTGATTGAGGATGTTCTCCATAAATCTGTATGTGTTATAGGAGTATTGAAAGGAGAGAGGAAAATTACTAAGTTTTGAAAACCATAAATGGAAAGATGAACACATACCTTGGTGATAGTCTTACAATAGTTATCTTGAAATCTCAACATATCTTTTCATTGTATAATTTTATAATTAAGTCAAAAAGTATATTATTGCCAATAGGACTGTGGGTATGAATTACTAATTTCAGTGTCAGGAGAAATGTATTTCATATATATGATAGTTGTAGAATCTAGAACAAATTTTACTAAGTCTATTAACCTTTCTTCTTCCTCTTCTCCCTTTCTATAGGAATTATCCTTGACAGAAACATTTTAAAAGAAAAAATTTTTACAATGGCTTCAGCAGTACTTAGTTCTGTTCCCACTACTGCTTCTCGTTTTGCCTTGTTACAAGTGGATAGTGGCAGTGGTTCTGATTCTGAACCTGGAAAAGGCAAAGGTCGGAATGCTGGAAAGTCTCAAACTTTGGGAAGCAAATCAACTACAAATGAGAAGAAAAGAGAAAAAAGACGAAAAAAGAAGGAACAGCAACAGAGTGAAGCAAATGAGGTAACATAAGTGTGTTGTCTGCTTTCCTAATAAACTATAAGCATCACAAGGACAGTTTTTATCTTATTTACCTGTGTATCCATAATACTTAGTTCACAGGTACTCAGTAAATATTACTTAGATGAATGAATGGATGTGAGTTTGTATTTAAAATCAAATGTAATGAACTTTTTAAAAATACTTTTTTTACTGTGGAACCTTATGTATTTTTTCCAAAAAAATTAAAAGAGGGAAGTCTTAAAAGGAAAAAAATGATCATTTGTAGATATAACTAATTAATATATTGGTATGTGTTTTCTGTATATATATAAACATATATCTATACATTCATATTTTATTTATATGAAAATGGGATTATGTAACAGACTATTTTATAACTGGATTTTTAAAAAATTAGCCATGAGCAGTTTTTTTATACTAGTAAGTACAGATGTACATTATTTTAAATGAATCCACAATTTTTAAGTATGTTGTTGTGTCATGGCTTCATTTAATTGAACTCCTATTATAAGCAATAATCCTATAATTAGCCTTAAACATACATTTTTATGCATTCGATGGTCATCTTTTTCTTGGAGAAATAAGTTCATGGCAGGCCCTGTTTCCCATTCTTAGCATGAATTATATGACCAACATTTAATATGACCATTTGTTTTTAAAAGAAATGTGAAATATAACTCTGGCATGTTTTTTGTTTGTTTTACTAGAAGTAACAACCAGGTATGTAAGGACCTTTTCAATATCATTTAATGAGAGAAAAATAAAAGTGGGTTTTTTTCCTCTATTTTTTTCCATTTTATGGTAACCCAAGAGTCAGCAAAACCATTTTGTTTTTTTTGAGACATAGTCTCAAGTTTTGCTCTGGGTAGAGTGCCATGGCATCATAGCACACAGAAACCTCCAGCTCTTGGGCTAAAGAGATCCTCTTGCCTTAGTTTTTCTATTTTTAGTAGAGAAAGGGTCTTGCTTTTGCTCAGACTGGTCTTGAACTGGTGAGCTCAAGCAATTCACCCACCTCGGCCTCCTAGAGTGCTGTGATTATAGGTGGGAGCCACTGTTCCCAGCCAGCAAAACCATTTTCAATTTAAGTTTGTTTCTATTACATTTCCATCACTAGTACTTTTTAAATATGTTTAAGAATACTTGCCACATATATAGTAACTTTAGAGAAAAGACATTTTCCTCACTGGGTGATCACCTTTCAGAAGGCCAATCTTTTCAGAACTTTTGATTGCATACTATTTTCTTTTTGGAATTAAAAACAGAATAATAAGAAAATAAAGTAATAGTGGAGTTTATATTAGAGAATAGGGAAATGTATAACTGAGAATGTGCTCAAAGGATCCTCCCTTTCATTTCAGCCACTTAGAGTTCTGTCAGTCTTGGATTCTGTAAAGTAAAACAGTCTCCCTGCCATTGCTTCATTACAGCAGCATGCCTTTCTGTATGTTCTTGCCATAGCAGAAACCAGCTACTTAAACTGGTGTTCATATGTCATCATTCCCTTTTGTAGAATAGTGTATCGATCATCAGTTAATGATCAATTGTTGATCCTCAATTTGAAGCCTCTTTATTAATTTCCTAGAGCTTCTGTAATAAAGTACCAGAAAGCACCTTCTATAATAAAGTACTTAAGGCAGCAGAAATTTATTCTTTTGTAGTTCAAGAGGTTAGAAGTTCAAAACATGGTTTCAGCAGGACCATTTTCTTTGAGATTCTGAGTAGAATCCTTCTATGTTGCTTCCTAGCTTCTGGGTGGCAGCTGTGAAGGTACAGTCTTTGCCTGTGTTATTTTCATACATGATGTTCTTTTTTTTTTATTGAGACAGTCTTACTATGTCACCCTTGGTAGAGTGCTGTAGCGTCATAGCTCACAGCAACCTCAAACTCTTGGCCTTAAGAGATTCTCTTGCCTTAGCCTCCCAAGTAGCTGGGACTACAGGCACCTGCCACGACGTCTGGCTATTTTTTTGTTGCAGTTGTCATTGCTGTTTAGCTGGCCTGGGCCAGGTTCAAACCCACCAGCCTTGGTGCGTGTGGCTGGTGCCATAACCACTGTGCTACGGGTGCTGAGCCATGCATGATGTTCTCATTGTATCTTTCTTTTTACTTCTTCCTACAAAGACACTGGTCTTATTGGATTAGGGCCACATCTAATTCAATATAACCTCATCTCAACTTGATTACATCTGTGAAGATGCAGTTTCCAAATAAGGTCACATTCACAAACATTAGGGGTTAGGCTTCAACATACTTTTTGGGAGGATAAAATTTGTCAAAAAGCAAAACTTTAAACAAATTAAATTTAACAGCAAAGAATGATTAATTGAGCAAAGAATGGTTCATGAACCAGCAGACTCCAGAAACAGAGTAGGTTGAGAGGAACTGTGGAGCTATCACATGGTTAGACAACACTTATGGATAGGAAAAGGTAAATAAAATAAAATAGAAATCAGGAGTGAAGTACAGAAATAGCTGGAATGTTTACAGCTCAGTATTTGCTTTATTTGAACACTATTTGAACAGTTGACTACTGTGATTGGCCAAAAGTCTGTGACTGGTACAAGAGTAGGTTATAGTCTGTTTACACATCCAGTGAGGTGACGGTTGACTATGCAGAGAAGCTGTTAGGCCGAACTATGTAAGGAAGCAAGTTTAGACTAAATTTTAGTCCATAACACCCTGTCATTTTTTCTCTCTTGTTTCAACTACCTGTATTTTGTCTCAGATTATTCTTAACTGTTGGGATTGGCTTGACCCATACTGTTACAGTTTGTTATGTTATTTTGTGTACTAAGCCACCCTTTATTTCTTAGGACTAGCATAAGTAGTTGCTGGAGTTGCTTAGGTGATCTCTTGCTATGTAAGTTTTTAAATTTATGAATGTTGAACTGTACTGTTTTGTATTTTAAGAGGACACTTGTTTCACTGTTCTATTCCTATAAACTTCTCTTTAATAAGGAAGAGTCATTTTAGGATACCTAAAATGGGGACATAGTAGACCACAGCACATTTTCACTTAACCATTTCATCTGTAGATCTACCATCATTATCTCAAATGCTGGAAAAACTAACATTCTATAAAGATTATATGCAAAAAACACTTAATAGTGACTTTAAGTTGTATGAGTTAGCATAGTAATTTTGGAAGACAATGGTTAAAAAATCAGTGATATATTGATTTTTGTTATTATTTTTTTTGAGACAGAGTCTCACTATATCATCTTCCGTAGAGTGTTGTGGCGCCACAGCTCACAGCAACCTCCAGCTCTTGGGTTTAAGCAATTTTCTTGCCTTAGCCTCCCAAGTATCTGGGATGACTGGTACCTGCCACAATGCCCAGCTGTTTCTCCTTTTTTTTGTTTTTGTTGCAGTCATTGTTTTAGCTAGCTCGGACCGGGTTCAAACCCGCCAGCCTCAGTGTATGTGGCTGGTGCCGTAACCATTGTGCTATGGACACCGAGCCTCATATATTGATTTTTAAAATGAACTGTATTTAATGTATTTTTTTTGTTTGTTTTATAGCTCAGGAATCTTGCTTTTAAGAAAATTCCCCAGAAATCCTCTCATGCCATTTGTAATGTTCAACATGAGCTCTCATTGTCAAACCCAGTACCGAAGGATTCACGAGAAGAAAACTGGCAAGAATGGAGACAAAGAGATGAGCAGGTACAGCAACGTAAATAAAATTATTTTGCTTTGTTTTTTGGTGAATTTATGGATTTTTAAGGTGGAAGTGCTTCTGAATCCATGTCACCACTGTCCTAAGGAGCAGATTTGTAATTACATTAATTCACACTTGCTACTTTTAATCAAAGTTCTGTTTTTGATCTATAGAAAAGGAGAGTTGATACATTATTTATGTTAGGGTTGGCATTTCAAAGCCGTTGTTTTGTGGTTTTTATTTTATTTTAATTATTTTTTATTAAATCATAACTTTGTACATTGATACATTTGTGGGATTCAGGATACTGCTTCAATATACAATGTAAAATGCATTCATTGAACTAAGTTAACACATCCATCACAATTATACTCATTTCTTAATAGTTTTGAAATGTACCATTGCATCATGCACATTAGGTGAGGTCCCCCAAATGCCCTCCCTCCTCCCATATCCCCCTCCCCTATCTCTCCTCTTCCCTTCTACTTTCTGAACTATAGTTATGTTTTGCCATTCATATGAGTGTGTAGGTGGTTATATATTGATTTCATAGTAGTATTGAATACATTGGATACTTTTTTTTCCATTCTTGAGATATTTTACTAAGAAGAATATGTTCTAGCTCCATCCAGGTAAACATAAAAGATGTGAAGTCTCCATCTTTTTATGGCTGCATAGTATTCCATGGTATACATATACCACAATTTGTTAATCCATTCATGGGTTGATGGGCATTTGGGCTGTTTCCATGTCTTGGCTATTATGAATTAGGCTGCAGTAAACATTCTGGTGCAAATGTCTTTGTTGTAAAATAATTTTTGATCATCTGGGTATATACCTAGTAGAGGAATTGCAGGATCAAATGGTAGGTCTACTTTTAGTTCCTTGAGTGTTCTCCAAACTACTTTCCAAAAAGGTCGTATTGCTTGCATTCCCACCAGTGGTGTAGAAGCGTTCCCTTCTTTCTGCATCCATGCCAGCATCTGTAGTTTTGGGATTTTTGTGATGTGGGCTAATCTTACTGGAGTTAGATAATATCTTAAAGTGGTTTTGATTTGCATTTCTCTGATGATTAAGGATGCTGAGCATTTTTTTCATGTGTTTGTAGGCCATGCGCTTGTCTTCATCAGAGAAGTTTCTGTTCAAGTCTCTTGCCCACACAAAAATGGGGTTATTTATTCTTTTCTTATTGATTACAGTTTTCTATAGATTCTAGTTATCAGACCTGTGTCAGAAGCATAACCTGCACATCTTCTCCCATTCTGAAGGTTGTCTGTTTGCTTTACTTACTGTGCTCTTGGCTGTGCAAAAGCTTTTTAGTTTGATCAGATCCCAATAATGTATTTTTGGTGTTGCTTCAATTGCCCAGGGGGTCCTCCTCATAAAATATTCTCCCAGGCCAGTTTCTTTAAGTGTTTTCCTTGCACTCTCTTCTAGTATTTTTATAGTTTTCATGTCTTAAGTTTAAATCTTTTATCCACTGAGAATCAATTTTTGTTAATGGTGAAAGGTGGCGGTCCAATTTCAGTCTTCTACAGGTTGCCAGCCAGTTCACCCAGCACTATTTGTTAAATAGGGAGTCTTTTCCCCCACTGAATATTTTTGATAGGCTTGTTGAAGATCAAATGATGATAAGTAGCT